TTGTGTGCCATCCAGAATTCGTTTTCCCGAAGAAATCGAATCAATCTTGATCACCGATCTAGGAGAAAATAGCCCGGTTTAGTTACGCAACCACCGCCAGACGAAAATAAACAATTAATAATTCATTATCCCCATTTTCCCCATTTTCTCATTATTTCTTTTCTATTTTGGCTAATCTACGGCTAATAATTTCCCTAAATCGGCAAATTTTAATTGTTTTCTTCGGGAATTTCTTGTTTTCTTCCTTTTTTTCACCTGTCAGTCTTGTTCTTGCCAAAATTTTATCGAAAATTTTTTCAAATCCATTTTCAATCGAAAATTTTCACTCCAATCTCTGCTGTGACATCCAGAACTTTCAAAAAGCTTGAAAATTTTCAAAGTTTAACCTTAAATTTGCAAGATTTAAGCGTCAACTCAAAATTTTACTTAATCAAGTCAATTTCGATTAGAAAACTGGATGTTTGAAGGTTTTTCTTGAGTTTTTTTCGCTTTTTGGATATCATGCTTTCTTTTTTAGCTTTTAGATTACATTTTTGAGTTCTTTTTTCGATTTTCTACTATTTTTCTCTCATTTCTTCCGGTGTTCTCTCAACTATACACTTTTTTTGACGAATCTTTCCTCAATTCTTTTTCCAATTCATTTCTTTTTCTTTTTTTTAGCCTTTTTTGAGCTTTTTTGAGCTTTTTTGAGCTTTTTGTGGTCATTTTTTTAAGCTAAACAATTAAAATTATTATTGGAACCATCTTGGAGCCAGACTGGAACCATATTGGAACCATTTATAGAACCAGATGTAGAACCAGATGTAGAACCATATTGGAGCCAAATTGCAGCCAGATTGGAACCATATTATCAATGGATCATTCGGTTCAACCAACTAGAGAACTGAGAAAACTATTCTAGCTTAATCGTTGCCTTAAATACTGAAATTAGATGTTGTGACATCCAGGATTCGTTTTGCTGAAATTTTCGAATCAATCTAGAAAACCTAAACCATAGAAATCCCTCCGGTTCAGTTACGCAACTCGGACTTTTTTAGTTTTTATTTCTGTGACCCCAGATCATTGAAAATTGCTGCTGTGACATCCAGGACTTAGTTTCCCGAGGTTTTCGAATCAATCTAGAAAACCTAGACCATAGAAATCCATCCGGTTCAGTTACGCAACTTGGGGACTTTATCTTTGTTAGCTGTTAGCCTCAAAAACAGTCAATTGGCTTGTGTGCCGTCCAGGATTCATTTCCCCGAAGAAATCAAACCAATCTTGACCACCCATCTTTGAGAAAACGGTCCGGTTTAGTTACGCAACTCGGACCTTTTTAGTTTCTTTTCTGTGACCCCAAATAATTGAAAATCGCTGTTGTGACATCCAGGATTTAGTTTTCCGAGGTTTTCGAATCAATTTGGAAACCCAGATCCAAGAAATCCCTCTGGTTTAGTTACGCAACTTGGGGACTTTTTCTCTGTTAGCTGTTAATCTCAATAACAGCAAAATGGCTTGTGTGCCATCCAGAATTCGTTTTCCCGAAGAAATCGAATCAATCTTGATCACCCATCCTTGAGAAAACGGTCCGGTTTAGTTACGCAACTTGGACTTATTCTATTTTCTTTTCTGTGACCCCAAATCATTGAAAATCGCTGTTGTGACATCCAGGATTTAGTTTTCCGAGGTTTTCGAGTCAATTTGGAAACCCAGATCCAAGAAATCCCCCCGGTTCAGTTACGCAACTTGGGGACTTTATCTTTGTTAGCTGTTAGCCTCAAAAACAGTCAAATTTGATGTTGTGCCATCCAGGATTCGCTTTCCCAAAGAAATCAAACCAATCTTGACCACCCATCTCTGAGAAAACGGTCCGGTTTCTGATTCTGATTTTTGGCTTTTCACTTATCAAGTAAAAACTTGGTTTTTTGAGGAAAACTTGAGTACACTTGTTCCTTTTTTGCCTAGCTAAGGCCCTTTTCCCCCAGTTAAGGCCCAGTTAAGGCCCTTTTTAGTCTATTGTTTACCCAAGGCTGACCAGTGACCCAAAAAGCTAAAAAGTACCTTTTTCTAAAAAAACACTACAAGATCTCAAGTTACCGAGAAATTTCGTCTCAAATTTCCCCAACAACGAACGCAAATTGGTTCTCAAAATTCTTGGAGTAATAAAATGCCCCTAATTTCCCAATTTCAGCAAAAAAAACTTTAATTTACAGCTTTCAGCTTTACTTTTTTTTCCAAAATTTCCCTTGGAGCTTGTTTTAGATTTTTTTGTGACTGAAACTTTCAATTTTGATTTAAAAATAGTGAATCCTGGCAGGCACACAGCAATTCGGTCATTCCAGGTTTTTTGTTTTGTCTAAAAAAAAGTTTCAAAAGTGCGTAACTAAACCGGAAGCCATTCCCAGGTCTAGAATAGTGCTAGATCGAAAACAAAAGTGTCAATCAGCTATCTGGAAGTCACAGGACAAATAGAGCAATCTGTTTTCTTCAATGCTTTCAAGAAATCAAGTACTTCATTTAGTGCGTAACTAAACCGGAAGTCAACCCAGCTATTTCTAGCTCTAGAATAGTGCTAGATCCAAAACAAAAGCGTCAATCAGCTATCTGGAAGGCACGGGGCGAATAGAGCAATCTGTTTTGTCCAATGCTTTCAAAGAAATCAAGTACTCCATTTAGTGCGTAACTGAACCGGTGACCATACTCAGCTCTAGGTTAGTGCTAGATCAAAAACAAAAGCGTCAATCAGCTATCTGGAAGTCACAGGAAAAAATAGCAATCTGTTTTGTTCAAATGCTTTCAAAAAAATCAAACACTTCATTTAGTGCGTAACTAAACCGAAAGTCAACCCAGCCATACCCAGCTCTAGAATAGTGCTAGATCCAAAACAAAGCGTCAATCAACTATCTGGAAGTCACAGGACAAATAGAGCAATCAATTAAGGCTATAACAATTGTTGGTCTCAGCCTGGTGTCTCAGCCAGGTCCACGTTTTGAGTTTGGCCCTTTATCCAGCCCCTGTTTCGACTTGAGACAATCTAAAGCTCATTTAATGCCCATCTGGAGAGCACACAAAAACTAGAAGCAGTCCATTTTTTGCTGTGACTCATTGTTGGTCTGTGCACTGTCCTGTTGGGTTCTGTCCGGGTCCTGTCCAGGTCCTTTTCCCCCTTCCGAACAATTCTGGATCCACCTCTCCCGTTTCCCTTTCTCTTCTGGACATCACCCTGTGTTCTGACTTTGTTTGTTCTCCTCTTTTCCATTTCTTTTCCCAGGACACCTCGAGGCCGATTCACCGAGGTGAATCCATTGTCTCTTGTCTTGTCGAAAAAGACCATCCAGCGACCAAATCCCGGCTCGAATTCGATGAGACGGCTTTAATTTAACCGCACTACAAAGATTCCGCTCATTTTTGAGTCGTTTAACATCATTTTCTTTTCACCATTTTCATTTTCACAGCTACCTAATTTAACTGATCATTTTTCTCGGAAAGCCAAGTAAATTTAAAGCATTATTGAGCGATTTTTATGCTAGCTGGATGTCACTTTATTTGATTTTAAAACATTTGAAGCCTAAAGAAGATTTTGGTGAGAGTCGAATAGTTGCGTAATTGAACCGGCCGGTTTTCCGAGCTAGCAAGCATGCTAGAAGCATAATTCAGCGATTTTCATTCAAGCTGGATGTCACTTTATCTAATTTTAAAACATTTGAGAGGTAAGGGGGTTTTGGTAAAAGTTGACTAGTTGCGTAATTGAACCGGCCGGTTTTCTGAGCGAGCAAGCAAGCTAGAAGCATCATTTAACAATTTTCATCCAAGCTGGATATCACTTTATCTAATTTTAAAAGATTTGAAGCCTAACGACGATTTTAGTGAAAGTTGACTAGTTGCGTAATTGAACCGACCAGTTTTCCAAGCGAGCAAGCGAGCTAGAAGCATCATTTAACAATTTTCATCCAAGCTGGATATCACTCTATCTAATTTTAAAAGATTTGAAGGCTAAAAAAAATTTTGGTGACAGTCGAATAGCTGCGTAATTGAACCGACCAGTTTTCCAAGCGAGCAAGCAAGCCGGCAGCATAACTCAACAATTTTTATCCAAGCTGGATGTCACTTTAACCAAATCAGAATTGATGAGGCGTTAAAATTTGATTTTAAAATCTTGACTTAAATGGCTTTTGTAGTTTCTCGTACTTTTTTTATAAATCAGCCTATTCTTATCTTCTTTTTCATTTCATTGCTCTTGTTTTCGCAATTCGTTTATTTCAAAACACTTCTGCTAGATCACTGGGTTATTGAGCCGATCTTCGTTTAAATAGTTGCGTAATTGAACCGGCTGCTTTTCTGAGCGAGCAAGCAAGCTGGAAGCATAATTTAGTGATTTTTATCCAAGCTGGATATCACTTTATCTAATTTTAAAACATTTGAAGGCTAAAAAGGATTTTAGTGAAAGTTGACTAGTTGCGTAATTGAACCGGCTGCTTTTCTGAGCGAGCAAGCAAGCTGGAAGCATAATTTAGTGATTTTCATCCAAGCTGGATATCACTTTATCTAATTTTAAAAGATTTGAAGCCTAACGACGATTTTAGTGAAAGTTGACTAGTTGCGTAATTGAACCGGCCGGTTTTCTGAGCGAGCAAGCAAGCTAGAAGCATAATTTAGCGATTTTCATTCAAGCTGGATATCACGTTATCTAATTTGAAAAGATTTGAGGGCTAAAAAGGATTTTGGTGACAGTCGAATAGTTGTGTAATTGAACCAACCAGTTTTCTGAGCGAGCAAGCAAGCTAGAAGCATAATTTAATAATTTTCATTCAAGCTGGATGTCACTTTAACCAAATCCAGTTCAGCATCGAGCCAAAATTTGGTTTTAAAATTTTTATATATTCGAACTTTTTCTCATTTACTATCTCCATTTTCGTGTTTTTTCTCCGCCACGTCATTTCTCTTTTTTTTTGCTTTACCTTTTGTTTGTAACCGAATCGCGTCACGTTAAGCTTTTCCTTTTCATTCAGTCCCTGGAAACAATGGTGCGCCGTGTGCACCCGTCTGCTCCGCCGGTCGAGCTGTACTCGAGCGATTTCCACCATCATCCACCATCGAATCACCGTCCCGATCACCATTTCCCGAATCCTGGACCTCACTCTCCTCCCCCGTCCTACCCGGGATCGATTATGGTCACTCATGGGCGAACGCATTTTGTCCAGGACCACGACTCGATCTACAACGAGATCAGCGACGGCGAGAATGACGGAATCGCGGACGAGCAGGGGATTATCCCAGTCATTACGCCAGATCGAGCGGCAAGATTCAACCCAAAAACGATAAACCCAAAGAAACGGCATAAACGAAGAAAATCGAATCCGATGTACTACACGAAAAGGTATCCTAAGGAATTTAGTGATTCAAATTTGCTAAAATGAAATATTCTGTCATTTTCGAGTGTTCTGGAAGTCACACTAGCTATTCGATGAGTAAAATTGGAGATTTTCGAAATTTCTAGAAGTTGGTGGTTTACGAAAAGGTTCCCTCAAACTTTAGTCATTCAATTTTGCTAAAATGAAATATTCTTTCATTTTCGAGTGTTCTGGAAGTCACTCTAGCTATTCAATAGATAAAATTGAGGATTTTTGAAATTTCTAGAAGTTGGTGGTTTACGAAAAGATACCCTGAGGTTTTTAGTTGTCCAATTTTGCTAAAATGAAATTTTCTGAGATTTTTGGGCATTCTGGAGGTCACCCTAACTATTCGATAGGTAAAAATGAAGATTTTCGAAATTCCTTGAAGTTGGTGATTTACGAAAAGGTATCCTAAGGAATTTAGTTATTCAATTTTGCTAAATTGAAATATTCTTTCATTTTCGAGTGTTCTGGAAGTCACACTAACTATTCGATGAGTAAAATTGGAGATTTTTGAAATTTCTAGAAGTTGGTGGTTTACGAAAAGGTATCCTAAGGAATTTGGTTGTTCAAATTTGCTAAAATGAAATATTCTTTCATTTTCGAGTGTCCTGGAAGTCACACTAGCTATTCAATATATAAGCGTAACAAAATTAGCAAAATTTAAAAATTCAGACAAAATGTCAGAGTTGAGTCAGAATTAAAATAAAATTGAGCTTTTTCGCCAAAGCCTTTTTAGCCAATCGATTAGTTTTTTGACTAATTCTAAAGCACAGACCTTTTCTAGTCAAATTCCTTTCAGGGGCTGCACCGATGTGGCCTGCTGTTTCCTCTTCACGCTTTTCATCGGCGGCTGGGCGTTCATCGCAGTGTTCGGTGAGTTTTTTGGTTAACCAAAAAAGAAAAACCGTAAACAAATCAACTTTTTGTGCGATCTGGAAGTCACAGAACATTTCCAGAATAAAAATTTTCGATTCTTTGTGCTTTTTAGGTTTTATGTTCGGCAATCCGGAGCGTCTCATTCACCCGGTTGACTCGCTAGGCCGACGGTGTGGTTTTAATCGAAAAGGCGGCTACGATTTGACGTGAGTGGCTGCTGTGCGCTCCAGCTTAAAGCTTTTTTGTATTTTTAGCTTTCTAATTACAAAGTAACCAATTCTACATTGTCAGAATTGTCAAAAATCACTTCAAAATTCCAGTTCAAAGCCGTATCTCTTCTTCTTCGATCTCACAACTTGCATTTCGTACTCAACTCTGCTAGCTGGATGTCAGACTCCACAAGTAAGCTTTAAAAAAGGGACACTTATCAATGGGAAATTTTTTTGAGTTGCGTAACTAAACCGGTTTTAGGTTTGCGTCTCGCAATGTCCGACCGCTGTCTTTTCCTATCTCGAGCTACAACAATATGGCGATGGATCGAATGCTTTTATTGCGAATGTACAGCAGAAAATGATTTGTCAGGATACGTTTGACAAAGCGACCCTTGTTTCTTACAATTTGGTGAAAGCGGCTGTGAATAATGGAAGCTGTGCGAAATACACAATTCCGTCAGCACCGGGTTAGTTTTTTTAATCGATAACGGCATCTTGGAAGGCACCAGGAAGAAACTGAGCGTTTGAGAGTTAATTGGGAATTTTGGTGAGAGTTGAATAGTTGCGTAATTGAACCGGCCGGTTTTCTGAGCGAGCAAGCAGGCTAGAAGCATGATTTAGCGATTTCTCTTTAAGCTGGATGTCACTTTATCTAATTTTAAAGCATTTGAGGGCTAAAGAGGATTTTGGTGACAGTCGAATAGTCGCGTAATTGAACCGACCGGTTTTCTGAGCGAGCAAGCAAGCTGGCAGCTTAATTTAGCGATTTCTCTTCAAGCTGGATGTCACTCTATCTAATTTTAAAGCATTTGAGGGCTAAAAAGGATTTTGGTGAAAGTTGCATAGTTGCGTAATTGAACCGGCCAGTTTTCTGGGAGAGCAAGCAAGCTGGAAGCATAATTCAGCGATTTCCCTTCAAGCTGGATATCACGTTATCTAATTTGAAAACATTTGAGAGCTAAAGGGGATTTTGGTAAAAGTCGAATAGTTGCGTAATTGAACCGATCAGTTTTCCAAGCGATCAAGCAAGCTGGAAGCCATACTTAACAATTTTCATCCAAACTGGATGTCACTCTATCTAATTTGAAAACATTTGAAGCCTAACGACGATTTTAGTGAAAGTCGAATAGCTGAGTAATTGAACCGGCCAGTTTTCTGAGCGAGTAAGCAAGCTGGCAGCATAACTCAACAATTTTCATCGAAACTGGATATCACTTTACTCAATTCCAGTATTGGGTCGCTGCTTGCCGCAATTTTTGATCGGTGCCGTGAACTCCCTGAACGACCTCCAGTCAGCAAATGGAAGCCTCTCTCAACTCATCAATCAATTCGGCAATGACGGTGGCTCAATTCCAAACGCGACTTTGCTAAACGACACCGGAAAGTATGGTTTATCAGTTTTAAATTCGCATTTAAATTTGAATTCAGTATTGTCGGGAATTTGGTGGGCTCTGAGGGAGTGCTGACAAAAATCGCGGCCGATTTGAGCAATGTGGGGTTTTTTTTTTTTAAAATCTCCATCCTGGAGGTCACACTATAATTTGAAAACAGAATATAGCCTAAAAAAGAAAAAATTTTTCTTTCCAGAGCTGGTGGCAAATTCTCACAATGATCATCGTAGCCGGCGTTCTAGCTTTCTTGTGGACGGTCGTGATGCGGATTTTTGGATCCCTAATGATCTGGAGCTCGATCGGATTGATTGTGGCCGGGTTGAGTGTCGGTGAGTTGGGGAATTGAGCCGAGATCAGAGTTTGAGCGATTTTCTCGAAAACTATCTATGGAATAGATAAAATTTTGAAGTATTCGGCCACTATGGAAGTCACATTGGGGAATCGTTGCAAAAGTTTTGGGTAAAGCTGATGAAATGAATGGGTGGAGTGAGACAAATCTGTTTGGATCAAAAAGGGAGGAATTCTTTGAAAATCAAAAATTCTAATAAACTTTTCGGGAGATCTGGAACGCACATAGTTCATTGCAGTTTTTAGATTTTCGATTTATGCAAATTTTTACTGAGCGATAGGTCCATGGTTCGACTCCGCTGAGTGACGAGATTTTTCAAATCGTCTTTTCGATACTTTTTTTGAGCGTTTCAGCTAGTGTGCGTTCCAGATCGGTAGAATAATTCGGGAATTGATCCAATTCCAACTTAAATCCGGCAAAATCCGAGTTTGAGCGATTTTCTCGAAAACTATTTATGGAATAGATAAAATTTTGTAATATTCGGCCATTATGGAAGTCACATCGGGGAATCGTTGTGAAAGTTTTGGGTAAAGTTGATGAAATGACTGGGTGGAGTGCGACAAATGAGTTTGGATCAAAAAGGCGCGAAATTCTTTGAAAACCAAAAATTCTAATAAACTTTTTGGGAGATCTGGAACGCACATAGCTCATTAGAGTTTTTAGATTTTAGATTTATGCAAATTTTTAGTGAGCGATAGGTCCATGGTTCGACTCCGCTGAGTGACTTTTTTTAAAATCGGCTTTTTGCCAATTTTTTTAGTGTTTCAGCCAGTGTGCGTTCCAGATCGGTAGAATAATTCGGAAATTGATCCAATTCCAACTTAAATCCGGAAAAATCCGGGGTAAGAGCGAATCACCCAAGCTGTTCTCTGTGCGGTAATCGCTCGCCGTCTAGCACACGTCTAGCACACCGCTCGGGTATAGGAGGCGAAGATCCAATTCCTCTCATTCCTAGGCTGCGGCTACTGTTGGATCAAGTGGCAAGGTCTACGGAGCTCTGGTGCAACGGACGATTTCTCTTTTCAACCGATGTTCAACCTCTACTTCGAGATGCCAACGACTTGGCTGGTTTTCGGTAAGAAATTCGAATTTCTGAAGCCAAAATCCTTCGATCTGGATCTCACAACAACTTTCCAGCGATCGGTGGCAGTATCATTTTGCTGATTGTGGTTTTGATATTGCTCTGCGTGGCGAGTCGGATTCGATTGGGCGTCGCGATGATCGAGGAAAGCAGCAAGTCAGTGAAAATCGGCTAATCTGGAAGGCAAAGCAATAGAATTTCTAAATTTCACGGTGACAGGTCAAGTGCTATTTTGAAAATCCTCTAAACGGTCTAGAATCAGCTTAAAACTGAGGCGTGAGCTCCAGATTGGACATTCAAGAGTTCCAAATCCCTCTAGTCTGCCTAGAATCAGCTTAAAACTGAGGCATGAGCTCCAGAATGGAAATCCAAAAGTTCAAATCCCTCTAGATGGTCTAGAATCAGCTTAAAACTATAGCGTGAGCTCCAGATTGGAAATCCAAAAGTTCAAATCCCTCTAGACCGCCTAGAATCAGCTTCAAACTGTAGCGTGATCTCCAGAATGGAGATCCAAGAATCCCAAATCCCTCTAGACGGTCTAGAATCGGCTTAAAACTGTAGTGTGAGCTCCAGAATGGAAATCCAAAAGTTCAAATCCCTCTAGTCTACCTAGAATCAACTTAAAACTCAGGCGTGATCTCCAGAAAAGACATTCGAATTCTTAGAATTGCTTAACGCCTAAACGCTAACACCTAGAATCGCTTCCTTGGGGCAATCTGAGTTCCAGGGCATCCATTCAAGCCACTCAAGCCGAAACTTACCTTCCAGAGCTGTTGCCCACATGATGTCTACTCTTCTCTTTCCCCTGTTCCCCTTTATTCTTCACGTGCTCGTCTTCATCATGTGGGGCTCGATCGCGATTTGGCTCGCCTCAACAGGTGACGAGAATTGCCGAAAACAGGGAGCGACCGGGAACGAGACGATGAACAATCCGAGTTGTCCGTGTGAAACGCTGGGAGTGGTGAGTCATTCTCTAAAGTTAACAGTTGCCTAAGCTAATTGCAAGCCAGAGAAAGCCGGTAGGCCAGAGCTGGAGGCCGGAGCTGGAGGCCGGAGCTGGAGGCCGGAGCTGGAGGCCAGAGCTGGAGGCCAGAGCTGGAGGCCGGAGCTGGAGGCCAGAGCTGGAGGCCGGAGCTGGAGGCCGGAGCTGGAGGCCAGAGCTGGAGGCCAGAGCCAGTAGGCCTAATTAGGAAGCTAGGCTAGCTAAGCTAGACTATCTAGGCTAAGCTAGGCGAGGCCAGAACCAGGCTACTGAACGTTTTAACCTGATCCTGACCTTTTCTTGATCTTATGAAACAACCCTGAGCCAAGCCCTTGCGCTTGTAAGCCTAGCCAGCCTAGATCCAAGCCAGCCAGCTAGCTTTAGCTTCTGATGATTTGGACATCAGAAGCTAAAGCTAGCTGTACTGCAGTAGAGCCAGACTAGACCCGTAATTGAACCGGTCGGTTTTCTGAACGACCAAGCAAGCTGGAAGCATAATTTAGCAATTTTTATCCAAGCTGGATATCACTTTATCTAATTTTAAAACAATTGAAGCCTAAAGAGGATTTTGGTGAAAGTTGAATAGTTGCGTAATTGAATCGGCCGGTTTTCCAAGCGATCCAGCAAGCTGGAAGCATAATTTAACAATTTTTATCCAAGCTGGATATCACTTTACACAACCTGGCTTTGCCTGACCTAGCCCGTCCGAGAAAATTGCTTTTGAAACAGAAGGGAACTGAATTGGGCTCTAGGGCTGGTAAGCTAGACCAGTTCAGGCCCAGCTCTCGTTTCTGATGATTTGCACAGACCTGTAGTAGAGCTGGGTCCTGTAGTAGACCTGTAGTAGACCTGTAGTAGAACCTGGGTCCTGTAGTAGACTCAGGTTTGACTTCTGATTGGTTGGATTAGGACAATGCTAAATGCAAATCAAGTCAAGAGCAGAGCTTAGAAAGATCAAACCTAAAGAAATCGGAGTCAGAGTCAGAGCCAAAGCCAAAGCCAAGGCCAAGGCCTGAGCCAAAGCCAGCCTAAGCCTAAGCCTAAGCCTAAGCCTAAGCTTCAGCCTGAGCCTGAGCCTAAGCCTAAGCCAGCCAGAGCCTGAGCCTAAGCCAGCCAGAGCCTGAGCCTAAGCCAGCCTGAGCCTTAGCATAGAAACCAGAAACCCGCGCTGGTTAGGCTTAATTCGAATTCCCTATTCAAAACTTGTTTCTTCTAGGATCCAACTTGTGTCTACGTGAACGTGACGCGAAATAACGAGCGAATCTTCTGGTTTCAAGCCTACAATTTGTTCGCATTCTTCTGGCTGACCTGCTTTGTGTCAGCGTTGGGTAAGTTCCAGAAGGAATTTTAAGAAATTTTAAGGAATTTTAATGAATTTTAATGAATGTGTCAGCGTTGGGTAATTTCCAGAAGAAGAAAATGTGATTTGACAATTGAAAACTGAAAAACCTACTGCTCATCATCATTTCCAGGTGACATCGCGCTCGCCGGCGCCTTCGCAAGCCACTATTGGGCGGTTGACAAGAACAAGGATCTCCCGACTTTCCCCGTGTTGAGAGCGCTCTCCTTTGCGATCAAGTAAGAAAAGAATGCTTGAAATCGATGAACAAGGATAGGCTAGGGTGAACCTAGGTCAACGTAGGTCAAGCTAGGTCAAGCTAGGTCAACCTGGGTCAACCTAGGGCAACCTAGGTCAACCTGGGTCAACCTAGGGCAGCCTAGGGCAGCCTAGGGCAACCTAGGGCAACCTAGGTCAACCTGGGTCAACCTAGGGCAGCCTAGGGCAACCTAGGTCAACCTGGGTCAACCTAGGGCAGCCTAGGGCAGCCTAGGGCAGCCTAGGGCAACCTAGGCAGCTTCTGAACAATCATTAGCTTCTGGACGATAGCAGAGCCCGCGGAACTATAGTAGCTAGTTCTACCTTAGCCTGAGAGTCTGACCCGACCTGCTAGGAGCTATTTGGCTAACTAAGGCTCTAAGAGCTCTTGCTGATGTTCCCAGAGCTCCAGTCACTCTTGATCATGTTCACAGAGCCCCAGGGATACTTGACGATGTTCCCAGAGCTCTAGGCACTCTTGATGATCTTCCCAGAGCTCCAGGCATTCTTGATGATCTTCCCAGAGCTCTAGGCACTCTTGATGATCTTCCCCGAGCTCTAGGCACTCTTGGTGATCTTCCCAGAGCTCCAGGCACACACTTAACGCCAGTGAAAGTTCCAATCAACTCCAATTCTTCCACACAAAACCTGAATGTCGAATTTCCGTTTGCCCAGAGAGGAATGAACTTGAGCGGCCTTGAGAGTTGGTCTTGAGAGTTGGGACCAACTTGAGCCTTGAATCCTCGAGCCAATTGGCATGGAAGCAATTCGAATGAACGGTTGGAGTCGAGAAGTCCCATGTAGACACAAAGAAGATGATTTGGCCTTTGGTGTCATTCGAATTGCCTAAAGTTGACTCGAATTTTTGGTAAAAAGGTTTTGAAAGCTTTTTATTCTACGCGTTTCTACAAGAGTTTATAGTTTGATCTTGTAGTTTGTAATGACCATGCTCATGCTCATGAGCCAGGGAAAGGTCTTGAAAACAGCCGCGGTCGCTAGGTCGGCTGGTCGGTCGGCAGGTCGGTCGGCTGGTCGATCGGTAGGTCGGCTGGTCGGCTGGCCGGCAGGTCGGCAGGTGGGCAGGTCGGCTGGTCGGTCGGCAGGTCGGCAGGTCCGTCGGCAAGTCGGTCGGCAGGTCGGCTGGTCGGTCGGCAGGTCGGCAGGTCGGTCGGCTGGTCGGCTGGTCGGTCAGCTGGTCGGCTGGTCGGTCAGCCGATGGGTCGGTCAGCTGGTCGGCTGGTCGGTCAGCCGATGGCTCGGTCAACCCTGAGCACTTGAACAAGTCTGTTACGTCTCAAGAATCGACTAAAACCTGTCCTGACATCCAGTTTGCGCTTTCCGGCTGGAATTTAGCCTCACTTATCACAAATATCTGGAATATTTTAAGAGAAGTCTGACGGGTAAGAGGTCACAAAAATCTTTGAAAGTACTAGGTCCGGTTTTTCCTAGCGCAAAGCCTGCACTGACATCCAGTTCCCCCATTCCAGGTACAATCTGGGCTCGTTGGCGTTTGGGAGCCTGATCATCGCCATCGTCAAGTTCATCCGCGTCATCCTCGACTATTTAGATAAAAAAGCGGAAGTCACGCAAAACCAGGCGCTAAAATGGATTCTAACGTGAGTTTAAACGCAAGAATTCCCCAAAAAAACCCAATTTTCCAGCTGTTTGAAGTGCTGTTTTTGGTGTCTCGAGGCAATTCTCAAATTTTTGACGAAAAACGCGTACATTATGGTAAGAAAAATCGCAATTTCAAAAAAATTCCCTAAAAATTCGCACAAATTCCCTAGTGACATCCAGGATTGAAAATTTTGTCGAAAAAGATCCATCTTAACCGCAGATTTTCAGAAAAAAACATCCAGCTATAAGAAATTTTCAAATTCGAAGCAGATTTCTTTGGAAAATTGTCAAATAGCCTTTGAAAACTTGAATTTTACTCAATCCTGGAGCTCACTTGACCCAAAAAACAAAATTGCAGATGGCGATATATGGGCGAAATTTTTTCACCTCAGCCAAGGACAGTTTCATGTTGTTGACGAGGAATTGTATCCGAGTCGTTGTCATCAATAAAGTCACCTCGTTTCTGCTTTTCATTGGCAAAGCCACGATCACGATTGGGATGGGTGAGTGCGAAAAAATCGATTTATAGAGTTTTTTGGAAATTTGGGCATCTTTGGCGAAATGATCGATTTCGCTCAAATCCTGTAACAGAATTTTTTTTTAGAATTATTTTAAGCTTTCAAAAGTTATTCGTTTACTTCTGTGACATCCAGAACTCATAGAAAAACGATAAAAACAAAAACTTTCCATATGAAAATCAAAGAAAACCTAGGCAACTTGAAATTTCCAGTCAAGAGTAGAAATTAGCATTTAAATTAGCATTTTTTGCGTGAATTAGCTCCTGTGACATCCAGAACTCATAGAAAAACGATAAAAACAAAAACTTTTCATAGGAAAATCAAAGAAAACCCGGGGATCTTGAAATTTGAATTTAAGAAAAGAAATTAGCATTTAAAATTCCCATTTTTGCGTTAGTTATCTTCTGTGACATCCAGAACTCATAGAAAAGTTATAAAAACGTAAACTTTCCATATGAAAATCAAAGAAAACCCTGAGATCTTGAAATTTGCCTTTAAAAATTAGCATTTAATTATCCTTAAAAATTAGCATTTAAAAATTATCCTTAAAAATTAGCATTTTTTAAAATGCCCTTAATTTCCATTTATTTTGCATTAGTTAGCTTCTGTGACATCCAGAACTCATAGAAAAACGATAAAAACATGAACTTTCCATATGGAAATCAAAGAAAACCCTGAGTTCCTGAAATTTGGATTTAAGAAAAGAAATTAGCATTTAAAATTCCCATTTTTGCGTTAGCTATCTTCTGTGACATCCAGAACTCATAGAAATATTAGAAAAAATTGGAAATTTCTCTCAAAAACGGATTTTTCTAAGGCCGGTTTAATTACCCAAGTACTGACCTTATATCGGGGCAGTGTGCCAGGCGCTGTTTTTTTCCGACACAAAAAGAACGCACAAATTTCCTTTCGGAGTTCAGAACAATCCAGCGCTCGCTATCAGCTTAAGAACCAGCTAGGGGCTAGGTCTAGCTTAAGACCAGACCAGGGCCGACTGGAACACTTGATCATTGTAGATTGCATTCAAATGTACCCCTTTTCCAGGTGTGATCGCTTTTTATTGGTTTTCGGGGAAATGGGTGATCAACGGGATCCCGCAAGTTCAACTCTATTACTATTTCGTGCCGATTATCATCGTTTTGATTGGATCGTATTTCATCGCTGATCTCTTCTTCGACGTTTATGATATGGCTGTCGATACGACTTTCATTTGCTTCTGTAAGTGTTTTTGAAGGTTTATAGGCTGCATGGCATTCCCAAGTAAGAAGGGGCTGCCACGCAGTGTCAAAATAACATTAAATCTAAATTTTGCAAGCTCATTAAGCGCTGTGCGCTCCAGATTGAAGATCTGAAAAGCGCTTGCATAGCTTTCCTTAGCAGAGTCTGCGTAGCAGCCCCAAGTAAGAAAGGGCTGCCACGCAGTGTCAAAATAAGGTTATAATCAATTTTGGAGTGCTCATTAGGCGCTGTGCACTCCAGATTGAAGATCTAAAAAGCGCTGGCATAGCTTTCCGTAGCAGAGTCTGCGTAGCAGCCCCAAGTGAGAAAGGGCTGCCACGCAGGGTCTAAATAATGTTAGATCTAATTTTTCAGTGCTCATTAGGCGCTGTGCGCTCCAGATTGAAGATCTGAAAAGCCCTCAAGCCAGAAGTTCAACTCTTGACTGTCAATAATATAGGAGAAAAATAGGGCTGCCACGCAATGAACTAAAAGATCGTATCAATCGTTTTCAAAAGTATTCTTCTTGTACAATGCGCTCCAGCTCAGTTATCTAAGCGTTAATGCGGCAATTTCTTGCATTTAGGCTCGATATTTTTACTCAAAATCGTTCCCGGTCATTCGATTTTTTCGATTTCGATTTTTCGATTCGAATTTTTTGCAATTTTTCTTCTCCGATTAGAAATTTGTTTTTAAAAATGCGGCTTTTCCCTTTCCCCTTTCAATGCTGATTCATTTTTGTGTTGGTAAAGCAAAAATTTTTTCTATTTTTTGTTCGATCATCATTTTTCGAATTTCTCTTTTGTGTGAAAATGCCGCCGAATTAATTTTGTCACTTTCGCAAAAAACCGAAAACAAATCATTGCAAAGGGAAAAGTGACATCCAAAATGAGAGATTTTGTTGAAAAATCCTGTTCGAAGCTGAAGTTTAAGCAAGAAAATGCGGTGAACGAGATCTAGTCGAAAAATTGATGACTATTGGGTTTTCTGAAGAAACTTTAAGCGATTTGGGCATTATGGAAGGCAACTTAAAGAATTCTAACGGTAGAGTTGGCAAAATTTAACTTTTAGATGCGAAGGATTACGGTAGCTTGAGCACAAGATAGGAAAAGACGAAAATTTTAAAGATAGCCAGCTAAAATTTATGGATTTTTGGCAGATCTGGAAGTCACGAGAGCTAAATAAAAAGTTTAAATTGCGAAATTTCCAAATTTGACTTTGAGGTCACGGTAGCTTGAGCACAAGATAGGAAAAGACGAAATTTTAAAGATAGCCAGCTAAAATTTATGAATTTTTGGCAGATCTGGAAGTCACGAGAGCTAAATAAAAAGTTTAAATTTCGAAATTTCCAACTTTGACTTTGAGATTACGGTAGCTTGAGCATAAAATAGAAATTTGTGAAAATTTCAGTGGAGGACAGCGAGCAAAACGACGGCAGCCCCGAAAAGCCTTATTTCATGACGCCAAATTTACTGAAGATTCTCGGGAAGAAAAACGAGCCGACGAAAGCTTGAATATGTTGAAAATCACTTTTTTTTCACATTTTTCACATATTTTTGTACATACAACCATGGGTGTCCCCTAATCTACTTAAAACTTGAATCCAGCCTTTAATCTTTGCGAATCCGGTAGTGTGCGCTCCAGCTAGCGTGTTAAACTTTGAATTTTTGTGATATTTCTCTTTTCCGCCATTTTACAGCCCCAGTCCCAAATCTATCATACTGTAACTTCTAGAAATGCAGATTTCCATCAAATCACTGCACCAATCACTCCGGTGCGCTCCAGCTAGCGTATTAGACTTTGATTTTCTGCGATATCTTTGTTTTCCGCCATTTTATAGCACCAGCCCCAAATCTATCGTACTGTAACTGCTGGAAATTCAGATTTCTGTCAAACCATTGTACCAATCACTCCCGTGCACTCCAGCTAGCGTGTTAGACTCTGAATTTTTGTGATATCTCTCTTTTCCGCCATTTTACAGCCCCAGTCCCAAATCTATCATACTGTAACTTCTTGAAATTCCGATTTCTGTCAAATCACTGCACCAATCACTCCCGTGCACTCCAGCTAGCGTGTTAGACTTTGAATTTTTGTGATATCTCTCTTTTCCGCCATTTTATAGCTCCAGTCCCAAATCTATCGTACGGTAACTGCTAAAAATTCCGATTTCCATCAAATCACTGCACTAATCGTTCCCGTGCGCTCCAGAATCTAGCATTACGACGAAACTTTCGACATTCCATTAATGGCGGCGGAGAAAATCGAGTAGTCGCCTCAGCGACTGGGGGAGGGGACTGGGGGAGGGGACTGGGGAGGTGTTGAATAATTCGTGCGCCGCGCTCCCCTTTTACCCCGCTTATTTACCCACTTTGGGGCAGGGGCTCGATTTTCCTTGGACCTCAGTCTCGCCATTTCCGCCAGTCCTAGGGTCACTCGATACCCAGCCAGTCTATCCATTTTCTCATTTTCTCATTTTCTCACCTATCCCACTTTTCATGCGCTTTCCCGGCGACGTGCATTCCAGATCGATGATTCCCAAAATATTTTCCCCATTTGATCAAAAGAATTTCGTTCTTTTTGTCCAAAATCGATTCTCGAAAAATTTTTTTTTTTTTGCGAATTTACGGGTTTTCTTTTCGTTTTTTTCATTTGTGCATTCCAATTTGGGTTTTTTATTTTAACATTTTCTCAGAAATCATTCTAGTCTCGAGATTTTTGCTTGATCGCTAAAATTCGAATCAATATTGTTCTTTTCTCATCCAAACAAAGTATGAAATCGGCTGTACTTTGAGCCAGTAAACGCCAACGATCTGGCAAACTGAAAACAAAGAAATCAGGGCTAGATGGCGTGCGTTTACAAAAGAAATTCAGAGCACAAAGTACAAAAACGAAATTTTTTTCGTTTTTGATCGATTCACTAAATGAATATTTGGTATTTATAAAAATTTGTTTATTTTAAAAATTTGCATTTATTTAATTCAATTTGCATTCATTTATTCAATTTGCATTCATTTATTCAATTTGCATTCATTCCTCATTTATTTTTTATTTTTTTCAATTTTTTCTTAAGTGCCTATCTTTTTTAGTGAAAAAAAACGAAAAAATCATCTTTTTTCATCGATTTTTTAAATTCAAGCCATTATTTTGATTTCTTAATAAAATTATTAAAGAAATTTTTCGCGAAAACTTTAAATTGGAAGTCACGTAGGTAGAAAAAAAGGTTTTCAAATGGAAAAATTAAATTTAAAATTTTTCGGAAAGCTGAATCAAAAGCTGAAAAATGAGCTGAATCATCAAAATCATTAAAATCATAAAAAAAAATCAGAAACCCTTTCTCTATCATTTCCAATCACTCTGTGCATTCCAGGAAGCGATTTGCCGGCGAATCCAGATCGCTCAGATCGGCGAATCGATCAGAATTCACCCATTCTCAATAGCTACTAACTGGTTATTTTCTAGAATCACTGCAATGGGCTCAGATCGAATCCAGCATATTCTGTGCCTCCCAGGACCTGAGAAAATTCAAGAAGATCTGCCTGAATCTCGATCAGAGCTCCAGAATTCACCCATTCTCAATAGCTACTAACTCGTTATTTTCTAGAATCACTGCAATGGGCTCAGATCGAATCCAGCATATTCTGTGCCTCCCAGAACTCCAGAAAGTCGAAGAAGATCTGCCCGAATCTCAGTCTTAGCTTCAGAATTCATCCATTCTGAATAGGTTCTTGAGGAGAAACACAGGGTTTTCTGGGGAAATTATTATTATAAAATTATTAAAGAAATTTGCGAAAATTTTTTGCGAAAACTTTAAATTGGAAGTCACGTAGGCAGAAAAAAAGGTTTTCAAATGGAAAAATTAAATTTAAAATTTTTCGAAAAGCTGAATCAAAAGCTGAAAAATGAGCTGAATCATCAAAATCATTAAAATCATAAAAAAAAAATCAGAAACCCTTTCTCTATCATTTCCAATCACTCTGTACATTCCAGGAAGCGATTTGCCGACGAAAATGCTATAGGTTCTTGAGGAGAAACACAGGGTTTTTTTGGGGAACTCGTGTGGAGGCGGGGCGAGCGCCTTTCTTTCCTTCCTCTCATTTCGCAACGAAAACAATGACTCACCGAGGATTTTTTTCGCGATTTCGGCTTTCCTGGAACTCATTTCAGCTATTTTTACTCATTCTTTGTTAGTCAGACCGCATTTTTTCTCAATCCAATATCGAAATCCGTTGTCTTACGAAATTTTTCAATTTCCATTTAAATTTAGGCCGAGATTTTATGATTTTCAGTGAAGCTGGATGTCACAGAATGGTTTATAACTAAAATTTACATCATTTTGGCATCATTTGATTTTTTGATTTTTTTGATTTTTTTTTGGTCAACTTAGTCGAAAAATTTAAAATCAAAATTTTCCGAATGAAATCATCAAATCGACGTTTCGTGTTGTCCAGTTTGACGATTCCAATTGTTTACAGTTTACAGAAACGTCATTTGGGGTCAGGATTGGGGGCAAAAGGCTATCGAATGAGCTAGGAGATAGGGAGACGGCTAGGAGCTAGGGAAACAAAGCTAGGAGCTAGAGAAACAGCTAGGAAACAAAGCTAGGAGCTAGGGAAACAGCTGGAGCTAGGGAAACAAGGCTAGGAGCTTGGAAACAAGGCTAAGAGCTAGAGAAACAGCTAGGAGCTAGGGAAACAGCTAGGAGCTAGGAAACAAGGCTAGGAGCTAAGAAACAAGGCTAGGAGCTAGGAAACAAGGCTAGGAGCTAGGGAAATAGCTAGGAACCAGGGAAACAGCTAGGAGATAGGGAAACAATGCTAGAATGGTTTGCGGAAGGGAAAAGACAAAGGGAAAAGACAAAGGGAAAAAGGCAAAAAGAGGAGAAAGGCTTAAAAGAGTGTGGAAAATGGTGTCAACTGAATATCCTTTTCTTTATCGCATCGATCTTTCCCTCCCCAAATCCTAATCTTTTAGTTCTCTCAAAATGCCATCTGTCAATGGATTCTGACAAAGAATCTCGAATAGATTTTATCGATTTTCTCGATTTTTGCTGTTTTCAGAGTCTTTGTTTTGTTTCTTTTGTTTCTTTTGTTTTTTTTTGTTTGTTTTGTTTCTTTCTTTTGCTTGTTTTAACCGCATAAACGTCTTAATGCTCTTTAAATGCTAATTTCTTTTCTTAATTTCTTTCTTTCTTTTCAAATTTCAAGATCCGCGGATTTTCTTTGATTTTCATATGGAAAGTTCATGTTTTTATCGTTTTTCTATGAGTTCTGGATGTCACAGAAGCTAACTCATAGAAAATAAATGGAAATTGAAAGCATTTAAAAAATGCTAATTTTTAAGTATAATTTTTAAATGCTAATTTTTAAAGGCACATTTTAAGATCCCAGGGTTTTCTTTGATTTCCATATGGGAAGTTTATGTTTTTATCGTTTTTCTATGGGTTCTGGATGTCACAGAAGCTAACTAATGCAAAAAAATGCTAATTTAAATGCTAATTTCTTCTCTTGAATGGAAATTTCAAGTTGCCAGGGTTTTCTTTGATTTTCATATGGGAAGTTTATGTTTTTATCGTTTTTCTATGGGTTCTGGATGTCACAGAAGCTAACTAATGCAAAAAATGCTAATTTAAATGCTAATTTCTTCTCTTGATGGAGATTTCAAGTTGCCAGGGTTTTCTTTGATTTTCATATGAAAAATTTATGTTTTTATCGTTTTTCTATGAGTTCTGGATGTCACAGAAGCTAGTTAATGCAAAAAGATGGAAATTGAAAGCATTTAAAACGATTTTTAATTCTTAAGGATAATTTTTAGATGCTAATTTTTAAGCCTAATTTTTAAATGCTAATTTTTAAGGATATTTTTAAATGCTAATTTTTAAAGGCACATTTCAAGATCTCAGGGTTTTCTTTGATTTCCATATGGAAACCTTTTGTTTTTATCGCTTTTCGATGAGTTCTGGATGTCACAGAAGCTAACTAATGCAAAATAAATTAATTCTTTAAGCGCAAAAAAAATCACTCTAAAATCAGTCTAATCGATAGCAAGAGCAGTAAAATGGGCTTAAAAATGACCGGAAAAGGAGAGCGGGGGAGAAAAAGGAATGACTCGTTTGGGCGGTGCCCCACTTTAGTCATCCTGCTGTCTGCATAGAAAATCAATCGATTTGCTTTTTTCATCTAGATTAGATCTAACTTATCTCATTCTTCCTTCCTTTCTTCCTTTCTTTCTTCCTTTGTCCTTTCTTCTACCCTTTTTCTTCCCTTTCTCTTCCCTTGCTCTTCCCTTTCTCTTCCGCTTCTTTCTCTTAGCAAGTTAAGGTACCATTGGAAAACTTTCCCATTAGCAATCTAACTTTAAGCTCAAATTTCTTGGCATTGAGCTGTCGAATTTCAATCTTTTTAATATCATTAGATTCGTCAAGTCTTTCTCTATCGATTGGTATAAAAACTATTCCAATTGGAAAACCCAGTCCCAAGATATTTGAGCTTAAAGATTGCCAATGGGCGCCAAT